GAGGAGACGTGGAAAGGAAGAATGAGGGTATAAATCTTAACCATAAAGTAAGATGCCCTCTTCAATGTTTAGAATTGATGCATACAATAATAACCCTATATATATATGTATAATAATTTATGTGTATTAAATAAAAACAAAAATGAAAAAAAGCTAACTATAATTACTAATATTTTACTAATTGTAAAATATGAGAAGTAATTTATTTACACATAAATTTTATTTTCACATAAATTTTTCACATCAAACTTATACAATATCTTAACCATTTGTCTCTTTATTTTCAATAGTTAAGATTTATTATTATTTTTTAAATAAAAAATAATTAATTTTAATAAATATAAATAAATTTTAACTATTCAAAATAGATAAATAAATAATTAAAATTTTATATAAGTATAGTAAGTGAAACCTCTATATAAGTAAATCTCTTATCGTAAAATATTATTGTAAAATGAAGTTATTGAGGTTAGTGTAAAACATTTTGTAAATTAAAAATATAGTTTAAATATGAAAATTAATAAATTTTTTTGATAAAGCTCATTTTTACTCCCATATTTATGGTAATTTATTAGTTTTAGTATAAAACCATATATTAAAATACAATTTAGAGAAAAAAAAAAACATGAAACTCTTCTTAAGAAGAATTTGCCCTCTGCTGTTAACTTGTTTCTTTGTTCAAATTCAATAAAGTAGTTTTCAAGTTCGGCCAACCCATTTATATCAAGTGGACGAATAAAAATCTTGAAAAAGTCTTTCATTCATTTATTATTATAGAAAAAACTATCTATTTTTTTCAATGATATGTAGAATTCGAATACGAACCCTATTTCTGATTCTTTATTTCTCTCTCCTTTGCCCTTATTTTAATATATCACATTTTTTTATGTCCAACTTATTTTCTTTCTTTTTTTTTTTTATGGTTGAATTTCGCATATTTTCACATTTAAGATTTGCATCTGTAACATATATTACTGTTAAGAGTAGATTTTTTTATTATTTAGACAATCTATTAAATGCTCTATTAAAAAAAAAGGAAACCAAGAAAAGAATATGGGATTGAAAAGTTGAAAAAAAGGTTGCATTACGCTATACATATAAAAGAATATGTAATAATGATGTATTTGGCGAATTTCAATACCGTTACTTTCCACGAAAGTTGCACTCAAGTGAGCCAAGAAAGCTTCTCTCTTTCTAGACCTAGAAACGGTGCCGTTTTAGTCTAATGAATGGACGTCGGAAGGATCCTCCTCATTTCTTACCTCGATTTTAGAGCTCAGAAGTCAAAATTGAATTTCCACTCGCGATAGGATTTATTGACCAAGGCTCAAATATTAATTCACACTAATTCAAAGCTTAAGCGCTAATTTAAAATTTTAATTTCCACTAATAATAGGATTTGTTGGCTGAAGACTCAATTATCCCCACACTCAATAATTGAGTCTTGAGTCAATAAATCCTATTGTGAGTGAAAATTTAAATTTTGAGTTAGTGGTTTAAGGTATAAATTAGTGTAAATTATTTCGTGTGAGTTAGGTTTTATAGATTTTTTTCTCCAACAATTATTTTTTTAA